GGGGCGAGCCACGCTTGAAAGGTTTTTGGCAAAATCTTTCAAAGGGGTTCTCTGAAATTCAAAAACGCTTTATCGAGTTTGCTGGCTACCCCTGTATCTTTTTCTTTTTTGGGGGGGGGGGGGGCGGAGGTGTACACTCCTTACACTCTCCCCTCCGTTCTCGCGGGGGCTGATGATGGTGCACACTAGCAGGAAAAAATACTTTTTTCTACTGCGAAAAAGTTTTCTATTCATATCCTCTTCAAGAGATTTTTGGTCAAAGAACAGGGATAAATGAACAGTCTTTGCCCCCTCCCCGCCCTCTTCCCCTCTGAAATGTCGAAGAAAGTTCAAACATTTTTCCTTGGCATATCACGTGATTTCTCAACAACTCTTGAATTACATTGTGTTCTCATGAAACAGAAACATGTACAGTTTTTGAAGAAATCACTTTTCATGAAACACAGATCACAATATTAAAACCTGACAAAGCTGATTAACCTAAATAGATAGATAATTCTCAAAAGATGAAAGAAAATGAGGCAGCATAGTGCATTGATCAACAACTACTAGTCAATGGTTGTTGTTATACCCACGAACACCTACATTAATTTAGCCAAAACTCTTCGTCCCAGAACGGTAAATATTCACTTCTAAAAGTTCTATGACGCTTTTATCAACATAATTGAGAAACTAAATTTAACTGTCTTTCTCGCTACTCAACAATTCTTTTGAACGTTATTTAACAACAGGTAAAAACGAAAATCAAAGTTCATTTTGATATTTATCTACTTTTCAAAATCAAACATCTATTTAATAATAATTAGTTACTTCAACTAAATTGACTCAAAAAAAAACACATTTTTATTTTCAAAATAATTTTATCATTTTCAACAAAAATTTTCACAAAAATCAAATCATGATAACCAAATTTCAATAACTTGACCATTATTTTTGACATTAACCATCTGCTCATCAATAATGTTAAAGGGAAATGTTTGACAACGTTTTGTAATGATATATTCATGTGTAAAAGGATCATCAACTAATGTATCTTGATCATAAAAAATTTTGAGATAAGATAATTGTTCCAATCGAATGATAAATAGATCAATAATAAATACACAATTATGAAATGAATATACTCGAAGCTAAATATGAATAAGTGATGGAAAATGTTGAATAAATTTTAAAGCGAAATTTGAAGGAAAATAATTGTTTTCTGTTATTGCTTGGATCATTTTAATTTGTTTGAAAATTGGAATAAGAGATGAATTATCAATTAGTTTTGATAAGAGTAATAATGGAGTATGAATTATAAGAATAATTACATTTGGACATGCTCTAAAACAATATATTAAAAACATTTTCTTTGGTAAAATAAATAAACATACTGTAGAATAAACTAAACCTCTTTCCACTCATCAATATGATATATTGATCGAAATTCTAGTTTGGTTACATTTGGTAAATGAAAAAAAAAGTGATAGATAAGTAAGATTTTGTTGTACAATGCTATTCTCATCAGTTGTTTGTCGAAAATTAACTAGAAAAATCAAATCACATTCATTCTTAAATGATATTAAGTGAATTATTCTGATTCAATAAATTGGTAGAAAATGTGTTTCTTACCAATATTGAATAAATTGTTCCACCATGATGATTTATTATTGGTACTTCTACGAGAAGACAAGTAATATGTTGAAATAAAGGAGAAGACCAAGTAACATTACATCTTTCATTATCTACATATAATTTTAACGTTTGTATCTTAGAATAAAAAGAATAATGATCATCTGTTGTTTTTCTCGTTGATCGTGTTTCAAATGTTCTACAAGTAATAAAAGGAACATTTATGTTTCCAATTAATTTGGATTTCGTATAATTCAATGTTCGTAACATAACAATTTCACCTAAAAGAAAAAGTGTATAGATAAATGTTTCCTCTTAATTAAAATTTAGTTTTGTTTCATATTCATACTCTTATTTAATTATTTAAACAATTTCAATTTCCTTGAAAGGGACGACCGTATATCCATCGATCAATAATCATTTCCAAATTAGAATATTTGTTAACAAAATAATTAAATGAATTAACAACAAAATCTAAATCTAATTTTGGCAATCTTTTCGTTAGAGACATATGAAATTCAAATTTAAATAAACATGGAAGATAAAGCTCCAACATTTCTTGCCATACATATCCATCAAGATATTCATTAGTAAATGGCCATGATGTTTGTACGAGAAGTTGAAAATAAACATGCTTGAGATTAGACATACAACGTAAAATATATGAAATCGACCAAACATCACACACAGTGCCAAGCATTAATTCGGAAGATGTCAATTGTGATAATATAGGTAGATCATTTTCATTCGCAGATGGCAGATCATTTGGAACACTGAAACAAAACAAATCTTTGCCTTTTGAATATGTTTCTTTGGATATATTTATTGCATTAGCAACTTACTTAATATTAGTATTTTCAAATCGTTTGTCATTGTATAATACAATGACTAGATATCGTATTTTATGACAAAGACGAAAAACTCGTGAAACTGAATGAATAGATACAGTTGAAGGTGAACCAGTAATCCGTAAATTAAATGATGTAAGATTTGAACCTATGGATGTATTATTTGATATGTTCAAGTAATGATAAGGATATTGAAGTTCAACTGAACGAAGAGAAGATGATTTATGTGTTAATATCCTATGAGTCAATTCATCATTATCATTTTCATTTAAATCTGAACGATCTGGTTGAAAAATTTGACGTATAACAAGTGTATTAAGACTTTCAATTTGTTTAATAATATTACCAAGTCTAGTCATTGAATGAATTGACAGAAGTTTACATGATTTTAGATTAGGAAAATTGTGTCGATTAAATAATAAACTAATTATAGATGAATCATCACGAATAGTATCGGAAATTTCTATTGAGATAACTTGATGTTCACGAAAAGTAAGATGAGAAGGAAATCAATTTGGCGACGACAATGTTCTTCTGAAATAACAATATGAAGTGGAATTGATTGTAAAATAGATGATATTCGTCTGTTTAATAAAGTAAAACCAGTAAAAATATTTAATATATGTAAATAATCAAATATCGCAAAGAATATCTCATTTGATAAATCTTCCAAAATGAGTATTTATATCCATTTCTAGAATATATAATGATAATATTTACACGATTCAGTTTAGTTTAACTGATGAAAATATCAAATGAGTGAATATCTGCAAGAGACTATCTTTTATATATCACAATCAACAGTCTATGAACAATACTGACGAGAAGATAAAATGAAATATTATTTAATCGTCTGTTTAGTTCAAGATACATGAAAAATCTATCAAGAAAAGATGTATTGATGATGTCAATTCGTCTAATTGTTCTCTATTTTTAATGTGTTCATAATGTTATGTCAAACGACGAAGAACAAGAAAACAATCAATCATAATGATGCAGCACTTCTTTCAGAAGAAAAAGGATATTAGTTCAAATGTATCTATATCACTTATTATTATCATACGAGCCAAAGATGATTTGGAAAAGCTAACTAATTCGTAAATTTTTCTGTGAAAGACAAAACTTTTAACTTGAATATTTCTTATTAGACGATAGGTATAGCATCATGAAAAGACCAGTTTTGATCGATATTATCTTCTGATTCATTTCAAAGATTGTTTTGACAGCTTTGTCTCATTTTCTACTCTATGTAGATAAAAAAATATATTTTCAAATAAAAGAAAGAGAGAATCTCGCGATTTTATCATAAGAAAAGTGATTTAACTCTCATGAGTCGAATGTTCCTTCTAATGGACATTTTCCTGGAAATTCAAATAAACAGTTTTCCAAATAACTACTGTCAACGAATTTGGATATCAAATGGTAACAACTTATTTCAAGATCTATGCACTTAGATTGAATTAGGAAATTCATTTTAACTTTTGAAAGTACGAGTGTAATTGTTGCCGCGCACGATACTGTCACTGCCGCCTATGCATCAATCGCTGCTTCATCAGCCATCGGTCCCCGACCACTGACGAATCAGTCCCTAAATATCGTTGCACTGACACGCGAGCCGTCTGTTTATCTGCACATTACCTATTAGTTCACTTATCACCGGTACACTAGCAACTAGTCTACCAATGGCCACCCCGTCAATGCTATGGTAAGAGTAGCCATAAAGCTACTAACCACTTGAAAAATATACGGTGATGACCTGTGTACTGTTGTTGGTAGTTTATCTTACTAGAAGGACATCTGAATAATAGAACAAGAATGATCGTCAGAATTAATTGCCCACATATTAATTATTTTTACCAGTCTTACTGTTGATGCTAAAGTACATCTTCATTCGCGATAGAGGGTGTGGGTGTACTGGTGTGACTAGCGATAAGTGATCACCGTCACCAGTACACCCCCATCGCATGTTATTTTCAATAGCTTCATTAAAGAGCTTGAATACTGGTTTTAGATATTAGGGGGTGGTTGTGGTTGTGGGTGTGGATGTGGGTGTAGATGTGGGTGGGTGGGGGTGGGGGTGTCCATGACGGTGTTTGTATACCTTTTCCAACACCCACATCCTTCGTTGATCCCTTTTATTTACCTCTTTAATATCCCTACAAGCGTGATCTAATATTCGTCATAACTATAGTAGTGGCAAATTGTGAAACGCTTTGCATTAATGATGTTGCTTCTGGCTTAAACGTCACAATTTCTTTTTCTACTATCATGTAAGCACTTCCGAGTGTTACATTCACTAGCATAATAAAAAAAAAATTATAATTTGTGTAATCATTATGTGGCTCTTTTTTTTTATCCATCTTCCTATTATTCCATCAAAGCGTTATACTATTTTATTAAATGAAACACAGTGGTCAATATGACATTTGTATGTCTTATTTTCTTTCATTTATTTAATGGTTATGTATTGACCATTCAATGTTGTTTTCTTCTTCTGTACGTAATATCATTGATGGCATGAAAAAAGTGCAGTAGTACCATTATATCACGCATTTATCAAGATGATATACGCAATCATATGTACGCCAATTTTTTTCTTGTTCTCAATTTCTTTCTCTTAAGTTATATTTCTCCTTGTTTACTTTATATGAAAAGATGTAAATTTACACTTGATAGATATAAAAGTATAATTTCATCACAAGAAAAATCAGATAACAATTTGAAAATATTAAAACAAAGAACTAGTTTCTTTCAAACAATGAATAATAAATGTAATAGTAGAAGATGTTGTAAATACAGTTATTTGAAAAATATATGTTTTTAGCATCTGAAGCCACAATCACAACAGGATGACTGACTGAATCTCAAGACAGGAGGGCAGCAAGGAAAACAACAATCATAATTGCTAGTACATTTTAAACAGTTTTTGTTACATTGTGCAGTATTGCTTCTCGGGATACATGTACCAGTGGAAGAAAATTCGCAGTTGAAGGATACATTTCCTCCATCGACAATAGCAAGATGATTTGTAATAACAAGTAATATCATAAACACTAACCAATAAGGAAAAGAATCCGTTTTAGCATTGTTCTACCTGAATTAAAGATTGTATGATTATTGTAATATTTATGGACGGATATATAAATTGTGACAGCAATTTATATTATGTATTTGTCCAGGTGATATACGCAATTTTATACGCGCCATTTTTCTTTGTTTTGATTCTCTTTCTCTTTAGTTATATTTCTCCTTGTTTGTTTTATATGCAACAATGTGGATTTACACATTATAAATATGAGAATATACTTTCGTCACAAGAAAAGTCACATAAAAATATGAAAATATTGAAAAAAAAAACAACTACTTTCTTTCTAAAAATGAATAATAAATATAACAATAGAATATGTTGAAAAATACAGCTATTTGAAAAATATATGTTTTTAGCCTCTGAAGCCACAATCACAACAGGGTGACTGGTTGGATCTCAAGACAGGAGGGCAGCAAGGAAGACAACAATCACAATTGCTAGTACATTTTAGACATCCTTTGTTACATTGTGCAGTTTTGGTTCTTGGGAAACATTTACCAGTGAAAGAACATTTGCAGTTGCAGGGTACATTTCCTCCATCGACAATAGCAAGATGATTTGTAATAACAAGTAATATCATAAACGTGAGCCAACAATAAAAACGATCCATTTGAGTAGTGTTCGACTCAAAAACAGTATTGTTTGATTATTGTAATATTTATGGAGGTAGATATAAATTGCGACAGAAATTTATATTGGTACTATTGCAGTTTAGTCACACACTGAATAATTTATACGAACAGAACGAGAAAGTAAATCGACTGATGGACGCATAACCAGTAAGTAAATGAAAGAAAATGATACATATAGATGTCATATGAAAACCATAAATTTTTTTCACAAAAAAGCGTAGAGAACAACTATTCAACAGGATAATTTTCAGAAATTCGTAATAGTATTTATTTTCACGGTTTGTTCCCAAAATTCTTCCGCCAAACCAATTTCTCTATATGAATTGATAGTAGAGATGTGTGAATACTGTGTTGCTTTCTGTTTCATTGTAAACGAATCTATGTGTGCTCTATATTTTGTGTGAATTCTATATCATTCGTCGACAGTACAATTTGTCGAAGACATTTCGTCGATGAATTGTTGTCGACATATTTCGTCGACTATCAATTTAATCTATTGTGTGTTCATTGGTATTATGAACTTCTATTTGCTAACAAGAAAAGACGGCTTATGATTAAATTTTACTTTGACTAATTAGTTGAAAGTGTTCCCATTTGAAACAGAACAAAAAAAAAAAGATCAATCAATGAAACTGTTTTTTTCTAAAGCTAATCAAATTGATAATTGAATAAATTTCTTTTCATACGTGATATATATATATATACCAGTCAATTGAGAGCATAACAATATTCAAAATTTTTTCATCAACGTCATCTTGTTATGGCAACTGATACGGTTACTCTGAATTTAGAACAACAACAAAAGGCAAACGACAACTTCTCTATACGGATATACCTACACATTGAATAAAGATCGTGACAAAGTCAAATATTGGCGATGTGAAAATTGTTCCTGTTCATCTTTTGTTCACACTGATGCAAATGACAACTATAAAGCTCACTCGGGCACTCATGATGGCCATCTACCTTCTCCTGATCGATTTGAACTTCTCGAATTCAAGAAAAATGTCAAAGAACGAGTAATCCACGAGACAACGCCAATTGCTCGTATCTACGAACAAGAGCTTGCAGCTGTAAAACTCAGTCAAACTAGTTTGGCTCTTGCGCCTGATGCTAAAGACGCTCGTAAGTATCGACTTTCAGACAAAATTATTCCCTTTAGTTTCATCTATATTTCTAGATTCATCTCTCTCTCGTCTTCGTCGAAAAACAATACCAACTCTTCCTACCTCCATCGACTTCGACATTCCTACAATTTACACGCAAGCTCTCGATGGCAAAGAATTTATTTTTAAAGATACACAAATACGTGGCAAGAGAGAATTGATATTTGCTAGTGAACGACAATTGGTTATGCTGTTCGAATCGAAGCATATCTTCATCGATGATACATTCTTAGTATGTCCTCCTTTCTTTGATCAAGTTCTTACTATTCATGGGGTGCACCATGAACATGGTGAGTTCTCTTTCTTCTTCTTAGTTTGTGAACTTAAAATACTTTCTTTTTTAAGTAATGCCATTTATCATTGCTCTTCTTCCTGATCGATCAAGTGTTTTCTATAATCACCTGTTTCAACTTCTTGATCAACATGCTTCAGACCTTCATATGACATTCGAACCTCAATTAATAACGACCGATTTTGAGAGTGGATTAATCAAGTCTGTAAAACATCATGTAAGTTTCTATCGCTACTCGTAGTATCTAGTTCTGTTGTTCTGCGAATTTCTTTTAGTTTTCAATGTCCCGACATATTGGATGCTTTTTCCACTACACGCAAAGTATTCATCGACGAATTCAAAGTCTTGGATTGTCAACTCTCTACAATAATGATCCAGAAGTTCGATCTGTATGCCAACAATTAATGGCGCTTGCTTTGCTACCTCACAGCAAAGTGGAGTCTGCTTTCGAACATCTTGCCAACAATCATTCACCATCTATTAATGACCTGTTTAATTATTTTGAAGATTTTTGGATAGAGAAGGTACCAATAGACTTATGGAATGTGCATGATCTCAAAGTAAGAACAAATAGCAATGCCGAAGGTAAGATATAGTTCCTTTCCTTCTCCTTTAAAATATTTGAATATGGTTCACTCAGGATGGTACAACAGGTTTGCCCACCGCATCAACAGGAAGTACTCGAATCAGGTATGCACCAGTTCCAGTCATGACTGGGTCATCAATCATTTGATCTTTAGTTTATTAAATGAATAATACTTCCCTCTTTTTTTGTCACATAATAAACTGATATGAACCTATTAAAGACCTAATACGAGATATATCATAGTATTAGTTGATTATTCTTGTGTTACTATGTGTCAACTGTTGTCACATACGGTATTATAAAATAATTTCAGATGAATTATTCCTGTCCATATTACTGAGGATGGGTAGTTTTTCTCTCCGTCGCATATTTACACACCGAAGGTTGAAAATTTTATCCAAAAAGNAATGGTGGATTAATATTTTTTCGGATGAAGCTAATTTTTATGTTTCTGGAATAATCAGTCAATAGAGAAAATTGACGTATATGGTTCAAAAAAAGATCCATTCGTTACTGTTGATACAGCAACAGATTTACCAACATTTTTCCTCTGATGTAAAATATCCAGTTCGAAAGCAGTCCCTTCTTGGCTTAAGAAAGTCTTCCATAGTAGGCGAAGTAGAAGAGATGGGCCAATAAGATGATCTATTTGATCACCGGATTTAACATTATTAGATTTCTTTTTATGGCAACATCTGACAGCAAATGTCTACAGAACATCAATACAAGACTTAGATGATTTTGAGATTAGAGTAACGAAAGAAATCGAAATAGTAAAAAAAAACAGAAACCGTACATGATATTCTTTCAGAAATTATAAAACGTCTAAATTTTTGTATTGAAGTTACAGGTAATACCTATGAACAGTATTCATGAACTTTGTCTTTATGAATAAAAACTTATTAGTCTCCTCTCTCAAGTAAAAACAAACATTACTAGATAAAGAACGATTAATAATGGAGTTATATGCATCTGTTAAGTGATAATAACTTTTGGGACATTCTGTATAGGCAATATTGACGAAGGAAGTAGATAAGAAAAAGATAGAAGCTTCTATCCAAGTAGTTAAAAGTTTAGCTCTCCTACTTGTAACATATTCGTACCGTCTTGCTTATTTAGCTCATAATTCGCCCTTACCTAGTTTTGCGAAAAATCTGCTTTGAAAGGCTATCTTTTTCGCAAAGTTTTCAAATATATGTTGCATGTAATTTTTTTTGTATCATGAGATCATATGAGATTAAATATGTAAAGAAAATTTTAAAATAGAAAAACGTAAGCATTCCATGAACAAAAAAACAATCATTATTGTTAACTATTTATGATGACTTATTATAAATCTAATTATTCATTATTTTTTCATTTTCAGATTCTGTCGGCTGCATATCTTGAAACATCTAAGAATATCTTGTGGTTATATTTTGTGTTGGTAGCTATTATATTTTCATACGATACCGTATTCATGATCTCTGTTGTGTTTTATATTCGGTTATATTACCAAAATTTAGATCAAACAACAATAGTAATAAATATGAAAATAAGAGAATCCTTAAAACATATACATGAATAAAAGAACTTATGTCATTGCTGTGTAAAAAATATTACTACATTCAAAAATATCGAATTAATGACAAAAAATCAATAAGAACAACAAATATCAGATAAAAAAGTGGGCATGAGTGTGTATTATGAACTTTCTTTTAACCCACACCCATATCCTCTGAAAAATTCTTGTTAGTTGATTTTAAAAAATCAAACGTCGTCATATTATCAGTCCTATATAATTATTATGGAAACATTTAATGTTAACTACTATTATGCTATTCGAAGCATTAATAATGAATGGTCAAAATTCATAAAAATACATTCAAGTGTGATTATTCTCGGTATTTATATAAACTAATTTTGTTCAGGTTTCAAACTTAGGAAACACTTGTGACGTCTCATACACAAAAATATACACACAAAAATTCAAGAAGTGCTAAAATAATCTAAATAGAAAACAATAGGTTAAGTCTATTGCATTTTATTCTTTTTCAACGAAGCTAAAAATTGTCTCACTGGTGCATATTTGATGATACTAGTTGTTATTTCAGGTCTTTTTTCTTTCATTAATTTCAATGCATTTTCCGATGACATTTTTTCATTAGCAACCAAATGACATAACACAATGGTAGCACTTCTTCCCATACCAGCTTTACAATGAACAAATATTTTTTTATTATTTGTATATGCTTCATTCATAAATTTGATTGCTTTTTCTATTGTCTTTAGTGATGGTGCTGTACAATCTATGGTTGGTAAATGCAACTGCTTTATATTATATTTTTTATATGTTCTATGTGGACCGTTATATTCAGCACACATATTTACAACATATTCGATCCCAATATTATTCAACGTCTTTACATCAGCAGCAGTAGGTAAACAACCTAGATAACAATGTGTCGTAATTTCACTATATAATGCGTTTAATGGATGATTCAAAGACTTAAAAATTATAACTAATAAAAATGCCGGCACATCATATAATAAATGTATAATATAACGTCTTTTATCATGTAAATCCATATCATGCCTATGTCTAGCAAAAGTAGTAAATATTAATGCATATGGAAATAAGTGCTGAACTTGTCCTATTGATATTTGACGATAAGCTAATAGTAAACCAATACCTTGGATAATCAATCGTAATATAAATACAACCCATAAACTAATAACTAATAAATATAATAATAATCTACATAAACCCAAATATGAACGTGTCTGTCGTGGATAAGATCTGTACCATTCATACATGGCTATTAACATGATTGGAATATAACTACCATACGGATTGTCTAGGAGATATGTAGTCAATGTACTGGACAATATACATAATAGAATAATTAATACATTTTTTAAACCGTCTCTATATTGATCTTCCCAAAATTCTGTATCACTTTCGTTGCAGATTGCAATATCTTCTTCAGACATCTTGTGTTTGTGTAGCCTTTTCGTTTGTTTGCCTTTCTCTAATGAAATTCGTAACGTACACGATAATTCAATATCAAACTTTACCTTATCACTTATATTTATTTGTCAGAGAGTTTGTAAGGATGTGACCACTTAGGTAATATCCAGTAGTATAGAAGAATAAAGTTGAATCCCGTTAAACAAGTTCAGCTTTATTAGTCCACTGAGCACATCGCACAAAGAGACTCGATGAGAGATTCTAACTTTTTAAGAATATAATAGCAGAAAAATACGATCTTCATTTCTTGATAGGTCAAATTTTGATATCTTTTCAGAAGATTTTATAAAGGCACAATAAAAACTAAAGAATTTCGAATACGAAATTTTACAGTTCTGATGATTGAAATCTGTAGACCACGAGAAGGTATGCCAGTCTTGTGGTTCTGTCTTCGGTGCTGTTTCCATAATTAGCCAGGCGCATATAGAAAATTAGGATTCTGACTAATGTTAGTGTTGGCTTATTAGAATATATACGACTCTCCTAAAAATTTCTTTCGAATAGATTGCATTTTAGTGGAGTTACGAAGATTGATGTGGACGACACTGGCGAGTTATTAGACCTATAATTTACAGCTTTTCATAATTATGTAATTCATCATGAAAATATATAATAATAATAATGCAGGACTTTAAAATTTAATTATAAAGTCTATTAGAATAAGCAATACTATATTTTATTATAATTAGATTTTCTTTATACTTTTTTAATTCTCCACCGCAGTAGCACAATCCACATGAAAATTATGAGTAGATTGTTTTTTGTTGTTATACTCCACGTAAATATATATGAAACAATAATAGTAGTAATAATTCGTTTTTTTGATGATGCTACTATTTCTTTTTCTTGTTTCTTGATAATAGTAATAATTGTATTATTGATGATATGAAGTAATAGTAATACTACTAATAAAATATAGTACTGCTTATTCTAATAGACTTTATAATTATCATGAAAATAGTATCGAAGGTTGAAGATCTCAAGACTGACACAACTTCTCATGTACTACGATCTTTGATGTTCAAAATCGTAAAGTTTCGTATTCGAAATCGTTTAGTTTTTATTTTAGTGTATTTAGAGAACCTTCTACAACTTATGGTGGTGTTTTGAAACACTGACGTTTTCAGATGTAAGCGTAGCGAAAACTACATCTGCCATCGAGTTCCAAGAGTTATTTGACGGAACCTTGACAAAGGGTATCTATATCGGATGTACAAGTGTAAGTTAGGCGTCTTAGGAAAAGAACTATTTTTCTCATTGTATCTCAGTCAAAAGTGAAACTCAAATAATGTACAGCTTGATTAAGTTGTTTTCGATGGTTCTGTTCAGTTAGCTGTATTTATAAGAAAAAGCCTTGATTTTTTGTTGTTTTGATATAATTAGATAAGGCATGAATTGCTCTATCAAAGCATATAGAACCTACTTGGTTTATTTTGCATCTTGTTCGAAAATTTATTAGACTCTGAGAAATGATGAAACGAACTTTTGCACTTTCATATTTCATTGAAACTGAATTTGTCCATCATGAAAACTGCTTTAGATGAAAGAGAATCATCAAACTGGAGTACGTAGAAAACATGAAGCAAAATAGATTTGACATAAAAGAGAAAATTTGATTTTACTTGTAAAACTTGGACCATTTTTGTATTTCTGAAAAATGAAGTTTATTGTACTTTTCGCAAAACATTACATGTAAAGCTTGACAGAAATTTGATTAAAACTATATAAATCGATGCAAGAATCGACATTTTATTCAGTGAGATATCAAAGAAAAAATCAAAATTCACATGCTTAAGTAACTAAAATTTCCTTGAAGAAAAACGGAGAGTAGTCTACAAAAAAGTTCACGAAAAGATTTAGAAAATTAACAAATTTTTGAGAAAGATAAGGAACAAACTCAATGAAAAAAATGCGGTTCGATAGAAAAACTAACAATCTATTGTTCTATAAATCAATGAAAATTTCCAATACTCTAGTAGATACTAGTTATGAAAAAATTAACAACGAAATGATCTTAAAATTTCTTGATAAAAAAATTTGTTGAACGCTTTTTGAAATTTATTAAATTTTTTAGACAAGACACAAAGTCAATGAAATAAAAAAAATATATGCTTCGGTATAATAATTGATACTCTATCCAACTATGTCCATAAAAGAAACGTTTGAAATTTTGCATAAATATACTAAACTGAGCAAAACTATGAAAAATTACGTAATCAAGCTATATAACTTTTCATAAACTCAATTGAAAGGTCTATCTGACGCATTTACCATAAACCTTTCAGCTTGAGAACAATGGGGTAACAGTCTAAAATAGAAATTCTAAAAGTTGAAGAGTTCAAGTGTCTATTTTACTGTAATAATCTAACTTATTCTCTCCTAATGGTGCACTGAGTAACCTCAAATGAATTGCGTATACAATATATATCATGTTTATGTGTTAAAATTAGTTACTCACATAATTACATTCATGACAAAATGTACACTCTTCTTTATTTCCTTGGCTGACAGGCTAGGGCCTATACACTCATAGTAAAACCAAAAATAGCAAATATCATGCGCTATTATCAATGACGTCAGATCGCTTATTTGCGTGCTCGTATAATTGACGTATCGATGATTTGCATGCTATAGATGAGTCAGATCAGTGATGTGCGTTCTTGTATAGATGACGCGCGATCAGTAATGTGCGTGTTTTGATCATAAATAGCTTAATAAAGTATTTTGGTTGGGATTCTAAATTATAATTGATTTTTTTGCTAGATTTTCTATTCATATTATCGGTGCTCACTTTTTGTCACGTTTCAACGCAAGTTTAATAGGTTTATCGTATTTCTATATCGTAAGTTTTTGAATTTATATTTCAATAATCTTCTGTCAGTTTCCGTTCATTACACTGTTTATTTTGGCTTCATGTTCGATTATTTCATCAGATTCAATTCATTAACTTGTATTTCCTGCTGAGATGTTCAATCTATATGAATGTATCGCTCGTTTATTATGGTTTTCCTATTGGCAAGAACTAGGATTTGAGAATCTTCAGATCCATCGAACATTGAGTCATACTTAGAAGAAGTCAAAAGTGGGGTGCCTTTTTTCTTTTACTTTAAAATAAATTAAAATTACATCCACTTAATTTATTATTGCTTAAATTATAAATTAAATTAAATTATTCTATTGTCTTTTGATACTTTATCTGAGTCAAACAAACAACGAAAACAAAACGTGTCGTAATTTTAACGAAAATAAATCGTAAACAGTGTACATTTTCACGCGTTCATAATTTAATAAACTTTTGAAGAGATATGTATTCGTTCAGAAATTTCAACTCATTTTTCTTCGTTGCTTGTCTGACTTGGATGAAATGTCAAAAAGAAATAGAATAATTTAATTTAAGAAATAATTTAAGAAATTATTAATTAAGTGGAAATAATTCTGATTTTAAATAAATTACACTACGAATAAAAATAATCTATATTTATTTTAAGTTTCAATGACTGATAATTTAATTTATGCATAAATCAAATTGAAAGTAAACATTAATTGACATCCGTAGCGAAAAGTTCTTCGAAAAATAAAAAAAAAACACATAAATCAAAGAAATTATTTTTATTTTATTTCTTAAATATTCAACATAGTTGCCGTACTTGTTTATAAAAAGTTCTATCGAAGTTTTTTTCTGGAACATTCTCTTAACTGTATCGGAAATTGCAATAGCAGGGATGTCACATTTACTTTCTAGAAAGTATTTTTAAAGTACTAGCTTCATTTTTAATTGTGCAACTACAGGACATACAAACAAGTGGACCGTGTGGATCTTGATCTTCTCTATAAGTTTTGTTCCACAAAGATGGTTGAGATTTTGCTCAGAACAAAGTTATGAGATCTAGAAGTATGACTCTTTCATCTTCTTTTAAAGACGGTGGCAGTGGCATCCTCCGTGTGTGTACCTCGTAACTTCTTTTTGGTGTTGCACAGACGAAAATGAAGCTTGTACTATAAAAATAGTTTCCAGAAAGTAGGTGGGGCACCCATAGTCACGCAGTTTCCAAGACAAGTAAAGCGTTTCAGAAAAAAATTAAAAGAAACTTTTGACAAATAATAAGAACGGTTCAAACTTTTTATCAATGATTACGACAACTATGTTGAACATTTAATAAAATAAAACTTAAAATATTTGTTTTATTTTTTATTTTTGTTTATTGTTCTTAGAACTTCTAGTCGATAAATGTGAAAAAGAAAACGTAGTGGAGAGAAAAGAACATTTCAGAATGAAACGTACACAGGAAGGAGCCTGCCACAAACTCATACAGACGCGTATAATTCGTGCAGAATGAACAACAAATTAAAGCATGATGATCGTGACTACCCAAACAGACAAACTTTTCAGAAAATGCGTTTAAACGCACAAAAAGGGCGAAAAATGGATGTTTTTGGTTCACAGTTGGGAACCGCAAGTGTGAGCCAAAACGCCCACTTTTTGCCGATTTTAGGCCAATTTCTGTGCGTTTAAACGCGTTTTCTGAAAAGTTTGTCTGCCTGGGTAGCGTTTTTGATGTGCGCAGTTTATTTTGTCGCGATATGAAATCTACTATATTTTGACTTAACTATCAAAAAGAGGTTGTGGATGTGAAGTGGCTGTGGTTGTGTGGCTGTGGGTTAAAAATAGGCTCAAAATATACACCCACACCCACACCCACACCCACACCCACACCCACACCCACACTCACACCCACACCCACACCCGCATCCACATCCACACCCACACCCACACCCACACCCACACCCACACCCACACCCACATCCTTGAATGTGATCGAGCACATGAAGCAAGAAATGTAGATTCAATCAAGGACTATTGCAATCTGAGATGAACACCACAATTTTGTTTTGCCCCGCTTTCAACTTCAGGTCAGAAATAAAAGCACATGTTTCGAATTCATTCTATTTCCGTGAAACATGTACTATCCTAGGTTGTGTTTGAGCTACTGTCTTGAGACACAGAAGTTCATATCTCAATAAGTTTCTTTCAGCTTCATTGGAAAATGGCAAACAAAGATAAGATATTTCTCTCCAAATGTGAATATACAGCATCATTACCTTGACTAATCCAGTGTTCATTTATATTATTTGAACAAAATTATGCCTTTTTTCGTTTCATTCCTGGGGCTAATGATATGAATAGTTAATTGACAACACTTTTCGTCTATTCTGAAATCAAAAAGTTTATTCAAACGAACAAAGAAAACCTGAGATATTGAAGTTCTTTTGAAAAAAAATTGAAAATGGTGATGGCATTTAGGTCAGCCACTTTATAACATAGTTAACAACGAGAAGTTGACAATTGTAATTTCAAGATTAGAATATTGTAACAAACTCTTTAATGAATTTTGTATTCTGTTAAAATTCACACTAGGTAAACGAAAGAAGTTTGGTTAGAATATTTATAATAGCTAATGAAAAATGTTTTTATTCATAAGTAACGATGAAATGAAGAATTATTAACTTCAATCGAAATGTTTCTTTAAATTATTGATAAGGTATGGTTGGGTTGGATCCTGTTGATTCGTCAAAAATGTATTCAACAATTTCATAGTTTATGTACTCACCAGTCAGCATTAGATCAAATACTTATGAATAGAACTGTTTTGAATCTTACAGAAAAGTACAACCAAAATGTTTCAAGTATTCCAATGTTAATGAACACTTATGTTACTGAAAAATATTTGATCAAGTGTTTATATGCATTTCCTCGTAATATTAATACGTAGAATTCAGATGAAATTATCAAAGTGGTGCAACGATAAATTAGCCTAATGACATTTTTTTAGAAAACAATTGAGTCTCACCTTATTTATGTATTTTTCATATTCTAACACAAGAAAGAAGCTTCTATAATTTGTTCAAGTATATGTTTAGATGTTACATATTACTGAACACTCAAAATAGAAAAAAGATAAAGAGTAGCGTGAATGTATGGATGAAGTCCATAAATCTTTTAAGGATAAGCTTTGTGTTCATGACAGAAATAAAGATTTGCTCTTAGAATTGGTTATAGCTTGAAAATTATTAGCTATCATATGTGTGGTATTTTTTCTCTCTTTAAAAACAAAAATACCAAAACTTCGAGATCAATAAAGAAATAAAACATACTTTAATAATCTCAAAAACTTTCGTTTCTATTAATATTGTTGAATTGTCTCTCTCTCTATCGATACATATGGGTTTTGTTTTGATATAATTAAATAAAAATCACTTCATAAGTATCCAATTACTTAATAAGAAAACAAGCTTAGAGGTTTCAAAAAAGCTTTTTCATAAATATTTTTTGAAAAACTTTCAGCGATCAAATGTTTATTAACAGACTCATTCGCTAAGATTATTGAATAACAGAAATGATTTCTTTCATATTATTACCTTAATACCTTAGAGATGAGTCTGAAATAGAGTAATTTTACAAATCGATTCATGAATTACGATTCATAAATATTTTAACTTTTGATCAAAAATTTATAATAGTTATAAAACAGTTACGTATTTGTAAGCTAGGCACTTGTTTTTAAGCCGAATACCAATTTATAAATAAAATAATCATTTAATATTACATTCATTATAGGTCAAACTTTCAAAATATTTATAATTTCGAGACCTGTCTATTGACCGACGTAATAGATGATCCAGTGAACAACATCAGATCGATTTTCTATAGATATAATTATTCTAAGAGACAACTTATTGAATTCCTCTTGGGATGATCTTCACTACCTTAGCTTCTCGTAACTCCGTGAAATATTTCCATGGGCACCTGGTCAGCGGGGCGAGCGATGTTTGTGGAGAATTTGATTTGAGTGCGACTGCATGATGTTGTAATTTAGGAACTACGTACGTACTTCAGAGTGTAACGATAAGATTATTTGAATGCTACAAATACTTTATGATAATTAAGCAATTGATTACATCACACCGATGAATAAGAGCAGCTGACTATGCCGTTATAATGCTGTCTCTTCACTGTGTTTCTTCTTCCAAGTAATGATGTAGTCCATATATAGTAGAATGGTCTTTTTTTAACCTTTATCAATTCGAAAGAAGATGAGTTATAAGTCAATTGCTAAATAAAGATTTACAGATTTGATTCTGATTTATAAAACCCGATTGTGCCTGTTAATCTGATAGTAATCTAAAATTTTAACTTCGATTTTCTAACGAAGATCTAATCAGTTAACTGACGCAATATTCCTTCGCTGACGCTGATGCAACTTACATGATGGAAAAAAGTAAAATGTAGTTTGTATTTAACAATGCGCTGAAGAAGATTAGAAGAAGATTCATCCAGTATACTGCTTTTTCACTATTCACTCACGAATCAGTAATAAATCGACTTAAAGAATTGATTGTAATTAGCAAGCCATCACCATACAATATTTGAACATGAAGTGAGAGTGATTATGAGTCCGAATTCATCTCGTGAAACTTCTTATAGTTTCTGAGTCCCGCATTGATTTATAACTATTTTAGTTTTTTCCCGATTCCTATCAACTTTTACATTTTTATGAATCGTTTCGGACTCTTTATTATAGTTAATTGAATTTGAAATTTATTTACATGAAACTCCGATATCGTGCATTCGTTTTCTGCTTTTGTCCATTTCAGCTATTAATATAGTTTGTTTACATTCTTCCAAAAAATGATTTCATCAAATCCAGATGATGAAAGATGGAATGAACGCTGTAAATATGATGATAAATGTGAAGAATTAGCTACGCATGATTGCCAGGGATGTGGAGAAATATACTGCATAAGTCACTATTGGGAACATCAAACTAAACTTCAAGATAATTTTGAAAATATACTACGTGCACAAGACTTATTGAGACAACAATTGAAGTCACTATTATCACAACTATCAACGGATGCTCTATTAGATTTAATAAAACAAATTTATGAATTCCAAATAAAATCCAATGAATTTGAAAAAACAGCAAATATAATACAACAGAAGTTACAAAATATCATTAATGACGATAAACAAGATTTCAAAAAGCACTTGATGGCAATGATAAATAGATTTGAAGTGCATGATCATAATGGTTATCTTGAAAATGATATTGATTGTTTAAAGAAAGACATCGAGAAACTAAAATTAAAACTAGAAGAAATTCAAGATTATAATAAAAAAAGGACATCACAAGAACAATTACCTATTGAAGATATGAAAGTTCAGTCGGACAATCTATCTGAAAAAATGAAATCGCCGCTAATGAATCTTGTAACACAGAACAGAAAAAGACCTTTACATTCTGTTGTTGATACTTCAAAATATCGATTGGGAAAACAAGCAGATGATACCACAGGACTATTTCATCTATTCATCAGACGAATGAGTCCATCGGTCTTAGATGCAAATGAAAATGAACTTGCTCTAACTGATGTAGATAACGAAATGGATCTAGACGAAAAAGAAGAAACAATGATGGTTATCGATTCTAATACAACTTCAAAGATTAGTCACAAGATACGCTTTTCCAATAACATTGTTCGCTGGCTACGAGGTCCCTTTAGAGTTATGGTGGATGGTACCATGCATGTAGTCGACCTTTGCGCGCAAGGAACACGTATAAGTGATAATGTTGTACAAGCTGTGAAGCAAGAATTAGCCAGACAAAAAAAAGAAACTGCCATAGAACAAGAAACTGCCAGTAGATCAGTTAAGCAAGTGTTTGCCGAAATTACACCCGATTGGACATTTGAAGGCGGCAATACTGATCGAGGTTTCACTAGTGAATCTATATGGATGCGTGATCCTCAAGGTCGACGAGTTTTAGTCAAAACACAAGACCATCCATTATGTGCTGCGAACGAAAGATTAGCCTATACTTTAGGAGGGCTACTTGGTTTGCCTATTAATGAGGTACAGATTGCAATTTATCAAAATAAACTGGTAACTTTGCATACCGATGTTGCTAATGAAAATGAAAAATCTGTCACATTCATGGACTTACCAAAACAAATAAGAAAAAAACTATTGACTAATCCAATTTTGGAATCTATGGATTTATTTGATCGTATAGTACACAATGTAGATCGTAATCAACGAAATATTTTAATAACAGTATCGAAAACAGATGCACTCGATGATGAGAATACAAAATTGAAGATGCATCTAATTGATCATGCTTCCTGCTTTGGCCTGGGTAAACTTAATGTTATCAGTATTATAGCCTGCAAATTTCATAGTAACCATCTTTCGGTGGTTACATTTGATCCAATAGAAAAAGCAAAAAAGTTTGAACAATATCTCAACAAACTGCCGATAGCAGATCGTGCTTTAATTAAAAAGACATTAAGACGTTTTGCAGCAATTACTGATGATCAATTTGATAGTTGCATAACTGAAGTACAGAGTCTTCTATCATCCAGTCAATACAATCGCATACATGATGTCTTATATCGACAGCGAGATGTTGCAAAACGCTATGTGATATACTGGAGTAATGGTCATAGTAACTCAAATTTAAAACCAAACCAAACGAATAGTCTTTCGTCCGAGACAAGTGACACAGTAGTTTATTTCTAAATAGCAGAGAAAATATGTGAATTCTAGCACTGACTATGTATAATTATTCGTAGAGGAACAAACCACAATATTTGGACTTGTTTTTTTTTTATTGTAACCTTTGATTATCAATAAAAATTCCGAAACAAGGATAATTGTGACAAAAATTATTATTGATTTCATTTTAGTACGTCTACAGCCTAGATTGTAAGTATTTTAAGCAGAGATTTAAAAAACTTCTCCGGAACAAGTTATCCATCTGAAATTTTCTGAATTTTAAAATCTTCATATTAGATATTGTCAAGAATAATCCAGAGATAAACAACGTAAAACATAGCTCGTCAAGACTTTATAATTGCTAATTAAACTAACAATCAGTAGATTCTGATTTCTGTGATATGATTTAATTTCAGTTCTGGAAGAAGAGACTAGAATAAAGTTTCTGTGGATTTTAAGAAAATGCTTAACAAGTGAAAAATTTTTCTCTCTCTCAAGATAGAGTAACATTGTTCTGCAGCGGAAAAATGAAAATTCCTCATAACAGATCAAATGAACTACTCCTCTACTTCCATTCGAGTTATCTCTCTGCTAATATCGTTATTAATTGTTCGATGATAGTAACTATGAACAAGCTTCACTTACTAGCGCAGCCTGACAATGAGATCAAACTAGAACAAAGCTAACGAAGATAGTACCCGGATTGTAATATACAGTTTGATCTCATATTTTGGCCCACATTTTATTGAAGTTTCTATTAATTTATAAGCAATTACCAAGGGAAAACAAACTGCTTTCGCGGTTTCGACAGTTTCAAATGATTTCAAGTAATTTCACGAGATTTCAAGTGATTTCAAACTGATTTCATCTTTTGAAATCAGTTTGTTCCCCCTTGGGTATTTACTAAGAAACAAATACTGGAATTTCAACCTAAAATCACACTCGTAGATACCTCTAATATTTCGTACAATCTTCCTTAATCCAGGTATTGAAGCTTCAAGTAAACCCGACTTTTGTGACATGTTTGTTGCAAACGACCATTTTGTTTGGAATTCAATTTCCAACAATGAAACATTCTTTTTGGTTAACACTTTCACAATACTTTAAGAATCATTCGAACTATATATGGGCAAAACTTCAGATTCAAATTTAATTTTTGTGATTTTTCAGTAGAAACATAAAAATATAGGTCTAAAATTCAGCATAATGATCATAGCTTACCTAAAAATGCGCATGGATATGTTCTCTGTTAGCTTTTCCCAAGTCTTACTGAAACGTTCATGTGAGCCTAATAAGAGTACGAACAGTCAATTACAATTGGATTAGTTTATTTGTAAGTGAGAGAAATTCGTCGTTGTTTTTCTGAACTCGGTTGCTTGTCGTTTCTTTCCCACTGGTGCTGTACTACTTAGGGTATACCAAAAGTAAGGGTATTGACATTTTAATACCGTATAATAAGCTTTAAGAAATTTCTCTATATATAGTCTGATAGAGAAAAAATTTTCTGTCTTTCTCTGCTATTTGATCGTACTTCAGCTGATATCATAATAATAAAATTTCAAAAAGATCTGTTTTTCTATCATACGTGACATTTACACTAATTCGAGTGTATATTTTTTGAATAACTTTTTATAGAAACAAGATACAGAGCTGCGGGTTTCACCGTTGGAAAGCGAAGATGAAGACGCATCGAATTGCCTATTATATATATTTTCCCAGACGTTATCTGAAGCTTTTTCAATCAATTTTCTAAGTATGCAAAAAAATGTTTTTTTTATTTCTGCACAGAAATTGCTAGAAAAAAAAATCACTTAGAGCTTCGACTAAAACAGCTATAACGACTCAATGATTCATTCAAAATATCTGAAACTTGTTCAGTTTTGTAGTTCTTGCATGGGCGGCTTGAGTGCTCGCCTGACAATGAAAAATTTGCTGTAAACACCTTACGGAGTAGGCTTGTTTTCAAAGAAGTGGATTAAAGACCTTTAAGAAGTCATGTCCATAAATCAATAACTAAATTCGATGCATCTTCATTTTCCCTTTCGAATGGGGAAAATCGCAGCTCTCTATTTTATTTTTATTAAAAGTTATTCAAAAAAATATTTACTGAGTAGGCATTAGTATAACCGTCACATATGAGAGAAAAACAGATCTTATTGAAATTTTATTATTATGATATTAGTTAACGTATGATCAAATATCATAGAAAAATAGAGAATTTTTTTCTCTATCAGACTATATAGAGAGAAACTTAAAGTTTATTATACGGTTTTAGAGTGTCAGCATCCTTACTTTTGGTATGCCCTAAGTAATCCTGCTCATGCTGATAAATAATCAAATCTATTATAAGGCAGCAACTGATTCAGGCTTACTTTTGCACCAGCAACTTATAGTAAGTATAAAGAATGAGATATGGTAAAGCCTTTATATAGTAAACATCATCACATGTGTTCAAATCCGTTCACTATTGAGAGATGCTCACTAAATCAGGTTCTTGGAGATCCAACTTTCCAATATAGGAAGTGGCCACTAAACGAATGCCACGGTGAAGTGTGTCAATCAGGGTGTCTATGTCAAGTATAGATATGCATGGATGGATGAAACAGATATGGAAGGTTGAATTGAAAATCTTCTCCTTAGACGTATATACTCACTCGTCCACATCCGTATCACTTCCATAGTTCAGATTCAAACATCATCACACTTGCAGTCTAAATTCTGTTCCCCCTCCCCAAAGACTACATTCATAGACCACCACAGTCACAATTTAAACCCAGACGCTACCATCCCTACAGCCGAGATTTAGAGACATCAAAGCCCACAGTCACGGCTCGGATAGTGATTCACCCACGCTCATAGTCCAGATCTGAACACTAGCACATCCACAGTCGAGATAATACACACAATCATGCCCGCAGCCGAGATCGAAACACACGCTAACTCGAAGTTCCAGCTCAGATCCTTACACACTCATGCCTACAGCCTAAATCTACATCCGCCCTCTCCTTCACTTCGATACACACACGCACACCTTTTCGATCAATCATCCAGACACAGCATACTGATGCTTCAATCGAAAAACAAACCTAGCATATATGAGAACAGATAAAGATCTAAGATAGGACTCGTAATTTGTATTTTAGAAGAGATAAAATTTATCTGAAGTTATATTTTTGGATGAGAGAGATAATCATCAATAAAAAACATGATAGAAGTTGGATATCAAGAACATTTTCAGACTTTTGTTCATGTTACTAGAAATAAAAGTCGGTCTAAATCATAATTATCTCGTAAAAAATAATTCTATTACTCCAACGATTGTGCAACAAAATCAAAATTATATTTGAATTCAGAGAACGTTGGGGTCAAAATCCATAAAATTTATTATTACTTTGATTTCATTTCATAATAATCTCAGTGTAAAAGAAATATTTTTGATTGAGTATTGATTAAATTTATTCGTAGTTTCTGCTCCTGTCAACCCTCTTCGAAGTACTTGTAGAAATAATGAATATTCTATTAGTGTCGTAAAATTCAATAGGTAGAGCCCTGTGAAGTTTGCGTATTTATTTAGCATGCATAAATTATACGAACAAAAAGACATTGTTGTGAAGGAGAATTTTTATTGCTTGAAAAAAACAAATTGCATTCATATTGAGAGAGAAAAAAAATTTCGTGATTGCTTTTTATATTTAAATTGACTGAATAATTGTGCTGTGCTTACGCAGAATGGTGATCAATAGCAGACAGACTCCTTGTTGCTAAGACACAATGTTTTATAGTATTCGAATCTCTTAGTCCTATTCATCGTGTATTTAGAAGTCATTGGTTTTACTCGTAAGTACTCTATTCCGGTATGATATTGTAGCTGATCTTCAAGTTGATTGGCTATCAGTATCGAGTCGTTAAAATCTTTCTGCAAGCTCAGTACAGATATTCTTTTTCCCGTCTAAAAAAATCATTCGGAATTGTCATGAATAATGATAAACGGTCTGTCTAGATTTTTTCACTTTTCGCATTTTGTTTTCTTAGAAACTTGACTATGAAGGTGTATTTTTTCGCAAATCAGATATCCTTTTGTTGATGTCAAGAGCATTTATGTGAGGAGACATGCATCAAACTATTTTATTCAGTGAAAATTTGATATATTTTAATAACTTACACCACTATCAAGTTATGTTATTGAAACAAAAAATCAAATACTTGTTTAGCGTTTTTATTCTACTATTTCTCATTTTTGGACATAAATGAAATAAATTACGACGCTCAATGAAATTTGCTTTCATTTTCGATTGATTAAAAATTTGAGAAGTTTATCTGCTCTTTATAAAAATATGAAGGTTTTCAGTTTTTTGTTTAAACATTCAATTTATTCGGTACACCGACAGTTGAGCCTCCCGACAGTTGAGCTCCCGACAGTTGAATCTCCATTGATTAATTACGTAAGGAATAATATCAATATACGATCACTTTGTTCAACTCAAAAGTAGTGCACACCAGACATGGGCACAGAAAAATTTTGTGTCCTATCATGTTGTTTGACTCTGTTCTGGCAAGCGGCAGAGCAGGACATCAATAATAATATTATCCTGTCATATGCCAGTCGCTGGTGTACACAAACATGCGTCATGCTCCCATAGTATTGCTGACTAGCTGATAAATTTTGCATAGCTAAATAAATTATCATCACGAAAACTAATTAATCCGCTTTATGGACGCATGTATGAGCGTAGATGAATGTGAATAGAATGTCCACGTTTCAATACGATCACATCCTCGCCCACACTCTCCGTTGGTAACTAAAGCCATCAAGTAGAAGTTGATTGTTGAGAATTCCACAATCGATATCCCAGGGCAAATAATTAGATACTAAGATCTAACAAGATTCTGCCTCTGATGTTGTATGATCTTGTAATATCAGACGAAAATCGTACGAAAAATCAGTCTCTGAAATATTATAACAAGTCATATTGTAAACTTCTTGAAAGATCTTGCTACCTTGTAAGATCTCACTGTAAGATTATAGAAAGTCTTATGCGACGATAAGATCTTCCAAGGATCTTATAGTGCGACTTACTGTAAGATTTCTGAGGCTACGATTTTTTTACGATCTCATCTGATATTATAAGATCTTATGTCTGATTTTTCGACCTGGGATGGTATGATAATAATAGATTAAGACAGAACAGTAATGGACACTAGATGAAAAAAAGAAAAATAACTTGAAAAGCTTACTCATTTTCATAAATATCACTAATTCAGTTTAGGATAAATATAATAGCGAGCCATCAATCTCATAGGAAGATATTGCGTATTTCTGTTTAACAGTTTTGAGTTGAACAAAATGATCGAATATTGATATTATTTCTTACGTAATTAATCGATAGGGGCTCAAATGTCGAGAGCTCAATTGTCGGGGGCTTAACTGTCGTGAGACTGAACTGTCGGGGCTCAACTGTCGTGTCACCGATTTATTCTTTTGTATTCAGATATTAAGTTTTTCAAATAGTTTATTCAAAATATTTCTGCAAGTAATATCGATGTTTGTCATTTTTTTTAGGAAATATTGGGTGTATATATTGATGAGTAACTAATTTTAGAAGAAATGGTTTAAAGTTATACATTTCTGAAAAAATATAACACTACAGAGCAGTGATTTGTAGAGGAGACAAACTTTCTTTTATTGAGAAAAAAATTTTTAATTGATAAAAAGTTGCTTTAACACGAAAGTGATGCTAGTTTTATTGTACGATGAATTTTCCGTTTAAAGACCATTGCTACCATTTATGGAGTGACTCAGTTTTTATTAAGGTTAAGAATCAGTAACTTAACTAGATGGCATCCAGACAAAGTCGGGAATGCGAGATAAGGTGCGAAGCACGAATGTCGACTATGTGAAATAATCAGTTTTTCGAAAAAAACGAAAAATTTATTAGAGACTGAAAGTCAAATCATGTTTGTCTTGGAATTGTTTCTGTTCCACAGAAAGCAACGGTTTCTATCGGTCGTTATAAATGGGACAGCTGTGTCTCCATTGATTAGCTGATTGAACTTTGACAGTAGCTGAAAAGTATCTATTGTGGGATTCATTATTACCACAATTCTGTAAATATCTGTCAACATTCTTCGAAAAAATATTGTCAATTTATCGTTTAATTATCGATCTGATTCATTATCTATCATCAACTGTACTTACAGCTGTGTCATATATGAATAATGAGAATGGCGCCTAACTTTAGTTTTAATTATCTCCAAGTTTAAAAAACTTAAAGTGTACGATTCATTATCTATCATCAGCTGTAATTACAGCTGTTTCATGTATAAACAAAGATAATGGCGCCTAACTTTTCATGTTTTAATTATCTCGAAGCTTGAAAATAATCGAAGTCCTAAAAAAAACTTGTCTTTTTTCGACCCTGTTTGTATTCGAATGAGACATCGTAACGAAAATCGAAAAAAAGGAGGTTTCGGTTCAATCTCGACGCTTTCATCTGATGCTTCAACGAAGATTTTTTTGACTTTTGGTTGTGAAGATCATGGCGACACAAAATGTGAAAAAAACTGCATATGGTCTAGCTAGAAATAAAGAAATAAAGAAATAAAGAAAACTCGCACATGACTACATAAATGCAGTGCTTCGCACCGCATTAATTAGAATAAAGGAGGTTTTTTTTATAGTAGCATTGAAGTCGATATTTTCACAATCATCTTGCCTCGAATTCTGTCAAGATGCAGTTCAGATTATCATTTAGTTCACTATAGAACTATGACATTTTTTTTTCAAAACTTGCTTGAAGACAAAGTTTGAGGAGATAGATCATAAAATTGGCGATCATTTTATAGTGAGAAAAAGATCGATTTAATCCATTTGTTGAAGCATTTTCAATATCCCACTTTCACTTATGCAAATCGACAATCAAATGTCAGAAAATAAGAGCATGAATCGACCTAGGTTGTGAATGTTCTGTTGATCCATACTCACTAATAATACCCCAGTAGGTATCGGAATAACGAATTGATTTTATGGTAATTTCTCATATTCGCACTGCTAAATAAAGTCTTACGCCAATGAAAAATTTAAATAAAAAACAGAACTTAATTTCATCTTATATTCTGTTCATCTATACTGGGCTTCAGTAATTATATTGTTTTGAATGAATTACGAAGTCACGCAATAAGTATCTTCTGATGTGATTGTTTTTTCGAGATATTTACATTTTCATCTTGTATTGATTCTCAAATAAATACTTGATCAGACACCAATGATTTCATCTTAAATTAACAAAATAAATCTCTTTTGAAACAAATATAAAAAGCATAACTTAAATCGATTCGATGCATACACTGTATTTGTTCTATAGAAATTGAAAGTATGAGATAAGGGTGAGATGTGGGTGTGTTGGATGAATGAAGTTGAAATACATATTCATACGCACACTCTATGTTTTTTGGAAATACTGAGTAAGCATTACTCAACGTTAAGATCGGAAGTTGAGTTTATCAAGCCAGAGGGCTAGTTATGATTTTTTTCATAGAACATGACTTTAAGGAGACACAGAGTATTCTAATAATTCAACTGGTTGTTTTCAAATAAGAATTATCGCAATCATGAAAATAATGATTTAAAACAAAGAGACAATGTTCTTTGCTCTGAAAACGTCAGATTCTTATCTTCTTATGAAGATGCGATCAAACAATATCTCGATTATCAAGCATCTTGAAGCCCTTAGCGTGTGAATGTAGGTGTGGAATTGAACTGATAAAGAGAACATTAACACCCACACCCAACATTCGCCACTACTTTTGGATACCCCTAAATATTATTACAACTCATCATTTTGCATACAAATTTTTTGAAAATTACATAAACATTAATATTTTTCATTTACACGAAAATACATGTATAAAGTGACTGAATCAAGGTTGTCGGTTGTTTTAAAAAGTGGGCGGAGCTAAAAATTTGGCAGAAAGTGCCTCATTATGACTTTCTGTCCGGTTTTGTTGAAAGAAGATGTTTTTATTCGATTTTCTGCCGGAAAAATGGCGAGTTGTGCTTGAAAACCGAGTTTTTGCCAGAATTCATCATGAGATTTTTAAAATTTGGCAGAAAGTCGGATATGTTTCCAATTTGTGGTGGGGGAAATCCCTTCTCTCCTCTAATCCGCAAGCCTGGACTGAATTATCAAATATAATTATTTAGATAAGCATTAAAACGATCCTTTGCTTTCATATTCATTCAGAGTTATAATGATTTGATTACTTTTGAAACCACGTTTGCCTGAAATATACAAAAAAAACGAAAACGTTGTCTTACAAGAATTGTGTAATGTGACATACATCGATAATATTCAATTTTATCATCTTAGTCATCTTATGTTTCACACATTTGCTAATCATTGCCATTAGATTTATCAAAATATATAATTAGTATATAAAAGTTCAGTAAAAAAATAACCTATACATTTCTTTACAATTCCACTATCAGAATATTTTTATTTTCTTAGAAATCTAAAGAAATGTAATTACATGTCAACAATTAAACATATTCTCTTATGTGATAGTTGAAATCTTTCTCAGTACAGTTGCATGCTGAAATCCACCAATTGTACATATAGTCCATATTGATAACGCCATTGTATAGAGAAGAATCAAACATATAAAAGAATTCTCTAATTGATGTTTATGTACTGAAATGTTTATATTTAGTTCTTATATGTACGTATGTACTAAAAACGAAAACAAAAATCACAAATAAAGAATAATCACCATGAGTTTTTTCTTCCAAATGATCGATAACGATCATCTTTCAGAAAGTCACCAATTGCGATAAATAAGAGGATGAAGTGTCTATATGAAGAATATTTTTTGTCAATAAACAACTTCAGTTTTTACTCAAGTGTATCTATTGTTAGTTGAGTTAGTATAACTTAAGATCCTGCCAAACTACCATTACCAGGATGAGCAGTACTACCAGGTGATTTAAAAATGATCTTGTCTATGTCTTCCNTATTCATATCCATCTAAAATGATATATTACAGTGATGTTACAAATCAATTTCCAGGTGGATTATATGAATATGTTCGTCAAGTGTCATTATTTGATGAAAAACCTTTTGAACATGAATTTTTTCTTCGAATTCAAAAATCATTTCCATTATTGGAAATATTATGTGTGAAGAATAAAAAACCACAAATTCGTAAACAATCAAATGATAATCAACAATACTTATCTCTTATTCAATTTTCTTCTCTTAGTGAACTTCGTCTCAACGATGTTCATAATGATTATATAGAAGAATTTCTATTTCATACAAAAACATATTTAGCAAAAAATGTCAACCTTTTTATTGAATATGAATCGTTAGAACGAATAACACACAATTTCACAAGAGAATGTACACGAATTAATTGTGCAAAAGTTGATAAATTATATTTATGGGGTAATGATGAATTGAAATGTGGAAATTCTTTAGGAAAATATTTTCCTATTGCCAAAATAATTAATCGAAGAAGATATTGAAAAAGAAGAAAAATCTTATATGTAATAAAAGAAAATTATCTTTTCTTATTAAAATACAAAAAATAATCTAAATTCAAAGATTTTCTTAACAAATATATGGGTGGAATATATATTAAGTGAAAAGAATTTGTTCAAATTTTGTTTTTCTTTCGAATAGATTTTTTTCTGACAATTTTATTCGAAGTCAATTCTGATATGGAATGAGTTTTGTCAATATTTCGATGTCTTAATTATAGAATCTAATAAGACTGGAATCATGATATTTCATCTTGCATTATTATCATTTGATCTTTGTCTTATCGCTCATTAAAACTAAATGTTTCTTTTTGAATTAACACATTGTATCCGATCGTATTGAAAATATATTTCGATTTGAATGAGTTCAGGTAGATCATCTGTGGTCTTATATTCATTAGATACTATAAAAAATAACAAACAGTTAAGATAAAAAACGAATAGAGTTTTAGATATCATAAATAATTATTGTATAATATTATTATTAACAATTCAATGGTAATAAGTGATACTTGTTCGATGTCTCTCTCTGCAATGTATATGTGAATTGTAAATGATTTCTACAATGAATATCGTTTCTCAATGTATTTGTTTTGCTACGACTATTCAAACTTACAATCAATTCTCATTCTCATTTAAGAAAGTGTAATACGCTTAGTTAAGTTACAAGTCGAACGGAATGGATTGTCTTTTTTTTTCATATAAAATTGTTTTGAATTTTACTACATCATTTATTGATTTATTCATTTGATTGTCCATCAGATCTCGATTGTTTTCTAAATATAAGAGTAAGAATAATTTCCCTAACATCATTATAATTGCCTAAGCAGAAAAATAAAATCAAACAATATTATCGTAGGTAAATATCAAGCACGTAGATATCTTTCGATGAAAAAAAAAATAGAACATTCTCTCGATGCATACCATGATTTTATTATTTGCATGGAACTTGTTCATTTTGTGTTGTCATTCTTATTACTAATTATAATCTGATATCTTAAACCGATTTGTGCACAAATGATATGCTATCTATGGATATCGTTAATGAAATTTGACTGATTGAAGAAAATTACAAAGAAATTTTATGAATGAAGACGACACAGTATGGTGGATATCAATACAGTCAAAACATAACGAAGAAATATAATACTCCTAACTATAATGAGTGAAAGAATATGTTCTCAACCGAATGATTGAAATAGTTACTGCACAAGCTATATAATTACTCTTACCGAAAAAGAGAAAAATGTTAGCAATAATAGCAAATTAAAAGAGTATCATCGATTCGTTATTCATATGAATGATAAACTTTTCATCAACATTTTTTTGTGCAGTACTTGTACCAACAAATAGAGATGTTGTCTATATAAATTAATCTTCTTAATTTTTTATCTTTTAAGTTGTTTCTTCCTAGATGTTCCTCTCATATGTTTTGTATATTGATGATAACAACCATCGTCATCTTATGACATATATGCACATATAGACAGTCTATTATTCAATGAGATTCTCCTACCAAAACACATGACTTCTTTATATCAAAGGAATATGACCCTATGATAGTAAAACTGAAAATTTTGCAAGATTATTAAAAGTAAAAAAAAACAGATCGGAAAGATATTTTCGAATGTTTCAATAGAGATATTTTCACTATAAAATAGCTCGGACTATACAATAAAAATGTTAATATTGTGTGAAATTTCTTCGAAAAGCTTAATTATTGTTGAATAGAGGTTTATTATCTTGTAATACAATATCTAAATATTAATTTCATTTCTCTTGAACAACATCTGCACCCCATCATGCGTTAACACTTTATGCCAAAAGCAAAAATAGAAGTACAAAGTTTTGTGTTCCTTATGGCCATATTGTCGCGATTTGTTGAATCTATCAGTTTTATTCTTATTGGAAAATAATCGAATAAAATGTTTAAAAGATTTTGATAATTTATAGTACAATGTATACTTTTCGAGTAAGTGTCGTCAAAAATCTCAGTTTATTATTCAGTCGAATGTCATTGACTTATATTTGCCTCACAGTATTGTTTAAATGACTCAAAAAATCAGATGCTTCATTTTGACAAAAAAAACTCGGTTTATCTGCTAACTTTTCTTTTATGATGATGACGCCATAGTATAATGCATATTTTTTGCAATCTTCGATGCATTTTCTCTTTCTTCTTTTTTTTTTATACTGCTCGATAGATAAATGATAGAACAAGCAAAACAAAAAGAAAAAGGTAATATTTTGTGGAGAGAAGCGAAAGCATATATTTCTGTAATAGATTATGCTAAGCAATTTAATGTATACAGATTAATGCACACAAGCCAAACTAATTTATTGATGCATATATACACAAACAAGCATGTTTTATTCTCTCGCATAAAGTAACTCGATATAATAGTGTTATCGTGGTTATCAACACACAAAATTTCAAACCAATATAGTCAATAAAGGTATGTCTTTTGAAACTGTATTCTTTTTTAACAGGTCTTGTTCATTACCGCTCGACGAATGGTGAACTCTTTAAGAAAAATTTTAAGAAACTGTTTAGAAAAAGAAATTAGACAAGTAGATCTAGAAGACGGGCAATATCATTGAAATATTTCTAGTTTGAAAATCTGCTGCATGTAGCTTTTAGTAACGGTGAACCCTTATAAATTCAGAGGAGTTTTATTTTTCTGTGGTTCGAGAACGCTAGCAAATAACGATGCTTTTGCATAAATAATTTTCTAGGCTTTGGTTTCCACATCGGTGTGAGTCTTCATAGTATCAAAATGAGAGGAACACACTAAGCGATCATTTTTCTTGAGATTTGAAAACTGTACTACGCGACTGTACATTTAAGAGTCTTCAATTAAAACATCCATAGAGTTAAAAAAAAGGTTAGTTTTCGAGAATATTCCTGGTTTTTTTATCTTATCAGTGGAATCATAGACGCAAAGTCAGTCTCAATGAAAACCCTTTAAAAGTTATTATTGGCAGATTGTCATAGTATCTTTGGGAATTTCGTCTGCTGAATTTTGTGGAGATTTCAATGTAGTGTTTTTGAAAAAGACCGTTCATTTGCAAAGAGAAAACTGACGGAGATATCCATATGTACCAAATATGAGACATAAAGAGTTTTAGAACAAGAAAAAAGAGGTCATCCTTGAAATTTAAATCATTCGGTCTTCTGCTATTTTGACCGATGTCCTTAGTTAATGAGACAGTGTCCGGTGTAGCTGTGAAAATCTGCTTATATTCATCAACATCCACAACCTACCCTTCTATAGAGAAATAAAGATTGCACTCATGTCTTATTTTTTAATAATTCTTTTCTTTTACCTCTTTCGCAATTAATTACAAATACTTTTGTTTTCGAAAAAGAAAGGTCACGATGTTAGATTTTCATGATTTTACACGAGTAGAGGATAAAAAGACGTTGTTGTTCTTTTCATTGAGATAGTTGATAGAGAATGATCTTTCAATCACTATTTTCGCCAGCAGTGAAGTAAAGCTTCTTAAAACTATTTCCGTATAGGTATTTCGAATTCATCAGCATTCCTCTTTTTTAAATTTCAAAACGAACAGAATGGAATAAAATAAAATCTGTTTCAGGTTTTTCAAAATAAATCAACTCGAATCAGTTCTGATTCCAGACTATTTAATTCACTTTGGATAAATAGGTTTTATCGGCTTTAATCACAATACATGATTTCATTATTTTAAGCATGACTAATCAAAAGGCAAACTTGCGTTTCTCTCAAGTTCATTTGAGTATTTAGTAGAAGAACTCAATCTGTGACTATTTTGAACAGTAAAAGCGAGGGTGGGTTTGGGTGTGGGTGTGAGTATCGGTATCAGACTGTCTTCCAAAACAGACCCATACCCACACCCACAGCCATACCCCACACCGACACCCCACAGCCACAGCCGCACTCACATCCACACCCACACCAACCCATATCCACATCCGTCCACACACCCACAACCAGGTATGTATGCTCTTCGCCGAAAAACACTTCCTCGAAAGTATTTTTTTGACCATGGAGAGCGCTCCAAAAGTGAGGGTGAGGGAAAAATGAGTTGAACTCTTCTTGCTTAACAAGTCTGTATAAGAATTAAAGGGCTTGCAGTTGTCTAAAGCATATCGCTAGTCTTTCGATGAAATGCTTTTAGGCGAAGAGCATTACATTCCCACACCCACACCGGCAGCCACATCCACACACCCACATCCACACCCACCCACTCATCCACATCCATACCTGCATCCACACCCACACATGCACACTCACACACCCACACCAGTGTGAATATATATATAGAGACAGTACATGAATAACTCCTGAGGGAACATTCCCAACTGTGACATCGCTTTTGAGTCAAGCGCATGGGCATTATGTAGGCCCTAATGATCTATGAATCCTTCCAAAAAAGTTCGTGCCACTAGCTTTTTACTGCTGAGATAAAGCATTTTTACTAAATGTTTCCGAAAAAGCCGTGGTCTCCCTCAGTAACATCAGCAAAAGTGAGTTTTGAGTTTCCGGCTGAAACGTTGCATTTAGATAGGCCTCAATGAGAATAGTTTATTGTGAAGGTTTCAGATTTATTGGTTGCTCCTAGTCGGAAATAAGAACATCCGATCTGCTGGTATATATGAGCAATTTTACAATAACTGTATCTTAGGATAGGGACAACGAAAAAAACTGAAACTTTCACAATAAAGTATTTTCATTGAGGTCTGTATCTATGAAAAGTTTGAAATCGAAATTCAAAATTCAGTTTTCCAAGTGTTGTTGAGGGGGGCCACAGCTCCATTTTCTTAGACATACACTAAAAAGACAATATCTCAGTGATAATAAGCTAGCGGCCATGAACTTTTTTCAGAGAATTCATAGATCCTTGGGATCTGCATAATAGACATATATTCGACTTAAAAGCGATGTGACAGTTGAGAATGATCACTCGTCAGTCTAGTTGACTATTTTTTTCTCTTCAATTGC